AGCGCATAGGCTCAGAACAAGTAAGAAAAGGGAACGTATTGTAGTATATTTATTTTAATTTACAGCTAATAAGTAAAACAGTAATTTGACTAAATTATCCATATGATATTAAGTGTAAAGAAAGAGTAAATGCATTGGCAGGGTATCTGTTATTTCAAGTGAGAAATGCATGATAGCTAGCCATTGTAAGTGTGCACTAACTAAGAACATAATTGTTGCGACGGGAACCTGTATTTATCATGTCTGCCCATTTTTTGGCATGCAAACGTCGGTCAGAAGAAGCTCTTTGCTAGCAAAAGTCCAGTCAAGCTTTTAATTACAAGATATTGGGTTTAATTTCATTCCTTCTATTAAAGGAGAGTGAGATGGGTCCAGGGTGTTTAATGGTCAAGAATAATCGTATAACTGAGGTACGATGTCGTTAATTTTGAATTCATATTACTATCTAGTCAATGGGGTTTCCATTACGAGACTTTGCAGCGGGTCACCATTGTTTAGTTAATTTAAAGCAAGATCGGAAATAAAGTAGAGAGATGAATCACACTGCATCATGGTGCAATTGATTTGGTAGTGTGAAGCACCGATACTAGGAATAAAATTGATTAAATTCCTGATATCATATTTAAAAAAATTATCATCAGAATTCAGAAATAGATGTGAAAATGTGAAATCATGAAGTAATTTATTTGTTTTGTATCTAATTTAGGAAGGGAAGCATATATCTGTAGAAAGGGATGACTATGAGAAAGCTTGAATACTGCATTAGGGTAGGGTTAGGGTAGGGTTAGGGTTATTATCATGTTTTAGAAAACTAGTATTCAAAAATCTCATAATGGTGGCGAGGAATAATGAAAATAATAAATAGGATCTAATTATACAATCATATCCCTTAGTGGCAAACAAAAAGACGGTTAACCCTAGAACGCAGTAGCCATTCTCTGCACAGAAAACTGTGACCTACACACCTGAACTGTTATCTTTTCGCTATCTTTCTAAATTTTCTATTCATTCTCCTCTCTCTCTGATGTAGGTGTGGTGGTGATGTAGTAAATTAATAAAGGGATCGTAGAAAGAGAGAGACTTAATAACAAGGTAAATGAGAGTTAATATGGTTTTGTATGTTATAATAATAGTGGGGAGAGTGACTTTTACGTCTGAAAAACTATCACTGACCATAAATAAAGCTAGGAAGAAACAGACCCCTCTCTCTTTATGTTTTGTTCGTTTGTGATTAATAGAGAGAGAGAGAGAGAGAGGGGTGAAGATATTAAGCCTTATAAGTAAGATAGGTTAAGTCTGATTAAGCTGTCATTCCATCAAAGAATACCTATAATAATTTGATCAGCCCCACAAAAGTTCACATCAGTCGAAAAGTTGATGGGAGAATGTGAGATCAGAGTATGGGCAAGCTAAACTTTGCTTTTTTATTTTATATAGATAAATATATAATATATTTCCTTTTTATCTCCTTTTACTCTTACCTGCACGCCCATCCATCTCACACCTTATGTTTTATATATTCAACTATTTTTTTCTTCCTTTCTTCTTCTTCAAAGCTTTTTTTTCTTCTTTATTCATAGACCTTTTCTTTAATCTTTCCTTTCACCTTTTGCATATTTCCTAGTCTCACTATCTTCCAAGATTCATATCTAAAAAGCTGCTCCTCATACATCAATTTGCAATAAAATGTTTAATTCTTACTCTCACTTTCATGAATCTAAAAGATTCGTTCACAAAACCCTATTGTTTTTAATACCACAACTAATTAGTTTTCAAGGCAGAAGGGTCACTAATTACCCAATTAAGAAACCATGGTTCCTAGTGCGACTAGGGTTATTATATTAAGACACTTCTGAAACCTTATAGTTATATATATGTGTGTGTGTAATATCTGAAAACTCATGAATTCGGACATATATGGAGCTCAAAATGTATGGGGGATTATCCACAAAATGGGATACTCTAAGTTTCATACAAGAAGCAGTCATTTCATTAATACAACTAAGCCAGTCATTAAGAGAAGTGATAAAAAATGAAAAAAAGAATTCCAAAAGCTTTGAAGGGGGGGCGGGAATGATTATATTACCGTAATTGCCTAAGCCCTAACCCTCCAGTAGTTATCCTTCTTGGGTAAATAAATAAATTATCTCTAATCCTTTGAACCTAAAAGCAATTTGATATCATTGATCACTTTAGGGGTCCAGCATCTCATCATTAAATAGAAACTATATCCCTTTTTCGGGTCATACATTACCCAGTCAATTCTTCGGTCAAACACCCCCGTACATTGGTGGCACTTACCATATTGATACACTTTTGTAAAGTTGTACTACTAATTTCCAGATATATTTTCTTTTAGAATTTAATTACTTTAATCAGTAACTAATTAAAATGAAGCTTGATATATAGAATATCCTGTTATATAAATCTGGATCAGCGGCTAAATTGTTGAGAAGTGCGCAGGCAGAATCAGAAAAATATTTTGGTTGCTGGAGTTGAACATCATTTAGCACTCATTTTCAGTATCTAATATATATTTCGCAAAGAGAAAGTTAAAAAGCTACATTTATCATATGTATATGGATCCCCTCGTTTAGAGGGAGAGAAAAAAGGGTTTGGGAAAGAAATCAATGTTATAATGATGATGAAATTTGGCATTCTGACAATAACAAATTAATAATCCAATTATATAAATGTTAATTAGTTGATGGTGGTGCTTTTCTCTCATGAAAATATGCTGCTAACTTTAGGTCAAAACTTTGGCAAAGCCCTTAAAAGGAGGTCTAAAGTAGCAGGATTTAAAGGTGTCTGAGAAGAAGACAAGACATTGGAACCGGAGAATATATGCTTTCTCAAGCTAAGGCCATCAAAATCCAACACTAGGGGCCGGCCATACTTTATATTATTTGCTTTCCATGCCCACTCATGACTCAACTCAACCCTAAATTTATTACCTTATTCTCACCCCTTGTATAATCTATGGTTGGTTTCTCAGAGTAACCACTGCCACAAATACAAGATTTTCCAACAACAACGGTACAGATTTTGCCACCTCGTTTTCCTCATGCTGTAACCCTCTGCCTCTGTCTACTTCGTTAAAGAAGCCCTATGGTCGATCATTTGACAGGTTTTTTACGCTTAATTTGGCACTCTCCAATATGGCTTTCCATTGGATTATTAATGGTGGCAAAATCTAACATGTTTTTTGTATTCATCAACAACTGTGCATGCAGTTGCCCATTACGACCAAACCACTTCATTCACCCATCTCAATATCTGTTCCTTTTGCTTCTCCAAAGATGAATTGAAATCGCGACTCTGTGCTCTGAATTCAAAAAGTAGACATGCGCATGTCTGTTTCTACTGTTTTAACAAACTAAAAAATCTCTCCAGAGAAACCCATCAGCGCCGTCGATCTATGAAAATTAAGTAACAAAAACAAATGTTAAAGAAAATTTATTTGCTTGAAATGATTTTAATTTGATTAATAGAAAAATTAAATCTGTATCCCAATTAAAAATCTTTTTAATTTTTATAAAGTAGTGTATTATTCAGAAAACGAGTGTTAAGATTAGGATTTGAGTGCTAATAACCTTACCTTAAATTTAATGAGGGATTTATAATGTTACTTTTCATAAACTTTAAAGAGAAGTTTTAGTAAAGTAAAGCTAAAATTTATCTGTACCTTTAAATCGATTAATAATATTTTCTCTTTTAAACATCATTTGAAACAACTTTTTCTAACGAGATGGTAAGACCTTAGGATATTTAGGGGGTGTTTGTTTGAGCTTATGAAAATTAACTTATAAGCAACAAGTGCTTAGAAGCTAAAAAATAGCTTATAAACATTTGAAATTTTAAGCAATTACGTGTTTAGTTAAAGTACTTATAAGTGACTGCGAAGTAGTTGACGTGTTTAGTAAAATATAGCTTATAAATATATTTTATTATAAAATGATAAAAAAAGGTACTATATTAAATAAAGGTATACTATGAAATTTTAAAATTAAATAAGGATAATATGGTAATATACTTGGTTAAATCAACTTATAAGTAGAGTGCTTATAAGCCAAAAAAAAAAAAAAAACACCTCCCCCCAACTTATTTTTTTTGGCTTATAAGCTCAAAAAAATTATAAACAAACAGGTCAGTTTAATTTTAGAGCTTATAAGTTAGTTTGACCAGCATATAAGCTTAGACAAACACCCCCTTAGAGGTTTTGAATCCACTAAGTAACCAAACCACTAACCACATTTGTGATTTACCTAACTATTAGATTTGTAAGGTGTTCAATGGATCTCAAAGATTAAGAGGTGCAAACAAACTGGTTCGGACACCCTGATCACAAAAAAAGAATAAAACATCGACTATCTTTGGTAGAATATTTTGAGTAGTATTTTTGAAAAATTTGAGTTGTGTTGTTATTACGAGAATAAGATCTGAATTTGAAAATATGTTTGATAAATTTTTAGAAAATTTTTAGATTATTTTTTAATCCCTTACATTTGTTAATTTAACTAAACACCCCTTACGATAAAACATTGAAAATTAACAAAAACACTATCACCTACCCATTAAATGTTGACAGATCCACCATGGCCATTGTTGATGACTAGACGTGACAAGATCTGGCTGTCAACGGTTAGATCTTTGACCATAGATCTGATCTTTTTTGGTCAGATCCACCATGGATCTGACCAAAAAAGACCAGATCGACACACGATCGCCACATCCAGTCGGTTGCGCGTCATTTTAACAGCTTCCTACCACCTTTCGACGGTGGTGACCAACTATCGAGAATATATGGATGGATGAGAGTGTTTTGGTTAATTTATAAACTTTTATTGTTAGAATATTTAGTTAAATTAACAAGTCTAAAAGATTAAAAAATTTAAATATTTTAAATTGAATTAAATTAAATTTTAAAAATATTAAAACAAATATATATTTTAAATAAGATTGAAAAAAATAAAACAAACACAGCCGATCATTTGCCCAGAAAATAGGACTACTAAAGATCTTAGAAAAGAGTTGCCCAAATTCGGAGAGGTTTTATTGTAAAAGATGTCCGATGTGGCAGTTTAGACTTTAGTACTGGAGTCACGCTGAAAGCCACGGAATTAAAGTGCCAGTATAAGTACGACTGTACGAGTTTGTTTCTGTCTGTCTGTCCCCTGGAGAACCAAAAATAAAAATAAATAACCTGCAAATTAAATCAAGTAATTACTATCCAAATATCTACCTAAAACCTGATGCAATTCCATTTTCGTCATTTCAACGGTCATTAGAATGATGAACACAAGTCTTACATTTGAAGCCAAACTGTTACACAGTAATCACAGATGCTGCGTAAAATAATTTTCTTGCCAACATTTTGCTAGAAACTGTACAAAGATCATCAAATTAATGAACTAGAATTTAAAAATATTTGTTCTAATACTTACAAATTTCAATAAAAAATTACACTTTCCAGACAGAGGTCAATGTGTTAGAAATTCACAATACTTCCCCCCTTTTCCTTTTTGAAGAGGCAGATTCCAGCTCTATTCCGTTTTCCAGTTCTCTCTCTATCCAGGCTTCACCATCTATCTCAGGGTTAATAGCTTCTGAAAACTTTTTATTTGCGGCTCCATCAAGTCTTCTCCTCTTCAATGCCTCTCTAATTCGACTAGCATCAATCTTAGTGTAGCTGTCATGAACAGAAATAATTTTGCAGCCAGGGTCATGATCAGATTCCACTGTTCTAGGATGACTATCACCTTCTCCATCCTCAATGATGCTACTTGAAGCACTATCACTTGTTTGAGATGGTAAAACTTCTTTTACATAAACGTTCTTTCCAACACAGGCCAGAGATTTGCTGAGTCCATCATTCTCCAACGTGGCTATGTTGCTAGATTGCCTTCTGGCAATGGAACCATCTGAGATGCAAGATTGTGGACTACTGTTCATGTTCATCTTTCCAGCTAAAGCTGTAGACTGAGTGAACCTTTCATGTCTCGGTGGTAGTGTCTGTTTTCTGTCCTGCTCTAACAACTTGAGCATCTGCCGGATGACCTCTGAAAAAGTTTGAGAAAGGAAACTTATGTGGAAGCAATCATAAGAAATGAGTAAGAAAACAAGCCATTCAAGTAAATGCCCACAGTTAAAAGAACTATTGTTATGCCTAAGGCCCTACGATTTTAAGTAGAGGAAGAAGAATAGGAATAAAGTTGTGCATGAGCCAATCTACCGTCATAAATATCCTAATAACAAAATAAGTAGATGTAGGAGGTTAAGTAACAACAAACCTTCTAATTGCTTGGGTGAAATATCAAACTCCAGCCACCAGCACTTTCCCTTCTGTGCAGGAAGTTTCACTTTTTGAAATTTGGCAGCAAGGAACATGGAACCAGCCGCAATATAGTGGGGTTTGTACTGCAAGCACAAAGTTGTACAAAGCCTACAAATCCAATTCAAAAGATATCAAAATTAGGCAAAAGGAAAAAAGAGGAATACACAAAGTTGAATCTTAGCTTGACCACAAACTAGGAACATCGCTTGGAAGTAAAGGCAATAGAGTCCTCACCAATCATTCACAAAATTCCAAGCTACTTTTGCAAGGTCAGGGAAAAGCTTCAATCTCTTTAAAGCTGTTACAAGTGGCTTGTAGGGAAGTTGAATATCAAAGTCATAAGCAATTGTTGCCAGTAAAAGCCTCTCCCCTCTTAAGACTAATTCCTTTTGCTTCATGTAAATTTCCTACAATAAGAAAGAGGCATGAGCATTCATGATATAAAGGAACACAATAAGGTACTGAAAAGCACAGACATGTCAACTTACTCTATTCTGTCTAATTCTCTGTGAGGCGGAAGGGTCCCATTTATACATTATCTCGTAAGACATGACAACCACATCCCCCAAAATGCATCGGGTTTCTTCTATTTTACAACCAAGGAATGTTGAGACAGCTGCAATTGTCTGCAAAATGATTACATCACGTTGAGAGGTAGTAAAGCATAAATAATTAAATTGAAATATAACAATCCAAACACTCAGATATTTTCAATCCTTCACAATTGGTATCTGAAGAACTCTAAATTCACTTTTAAAATTTTTTTAGTAATAAATGAAAAAACAGGAATGTTTCAAATGAAATATTATATAAACATATCAGGACAGAGGAAGGAGCAACTTTTCATCATATTCCACGAATGGATTCCTGGTCCACAGTGTGTACATTTTATAGTTCATTATAATCATCTTACTATGCACAGTAGAGGTAAAAATATTGAAATAGTTAATGAAACAATAAACCTCAGGCATGCACATTTGCTGATATGTAACTACTACAATGTAAGGCCAAATTTAAATTGCATGTTCAGTGAGCATTCATCTCATCAAGGAAATGTAACCAGTTGTCTAACATATCAGATAATGCAAAGCAGGCAAGCACATATAGGAATACAAGGAAATACACGCACCTGCCAATCATTCTTTGCATGAGACTGGCGCATGAAGAACCGGTGGCATAACATCATAGCACATGCTATTGTCACCTGAGGCCTAAAAAGGAAACAATGCCCATTACTATCTCTGACAAACTACCACAATATGAAACATACAAAGATTTAAGCGAAGTTGCCAAAGGAAATGAAGATTTAACAAAAATATACCATGTAAACATATGCACTGACAAAGAAGCAAGTTTCAAAGGCCATCTTTCAGAAGAATGATAACATATTCTTATATATATCAGATGAAGAATTCTATTTGAAGCCAATTTTTTTTTGCAGATGATCAATTCTAAGAGAAATATTAATTACTTACTAACTTACACTTTAAGTTTCATTCCAAGCTCTTGAAGAAAAGAGCAATACAGCTTTCGTAATTCCGATTCTTTCTCGAGGCTGATGCCATCCTTTCTAGATGGTGAAAAATCTTCAATTTCTTCCCTACTAAAGTACCATTTGCGCATACAAAACTGAGGCTCTTCTAGCAACTGTTCTGTCATTGGCACCTTTCTCTTCAAACAACTAAATAAATTCTGAAATGATATACCAGCAGCTGCTCAATAGAAGTTCCTCAAACTTAAGCAAGTTTCTGCATAACACAAACACCTTATATTAATATTGAACAAGAAAACAAGTTTCGGAAAGAAAAATGTAAATATCACTAGAGAAAGAGAGGGAAAGAGAGACCTCCACTAACAGATATTGACAATCACATATACATAAATCATTAACAAAAAGACCAATATGTAGCAGTAGCTGAAAGTTGATGTCTTATACTAATGTGAACTAACTTACCATTATATGACTCCTTCCCCATGAAAATTTATTGTTGCAGGTGTCAGAAGTATTTTTGATGGACTTGACCATGTACATAGATGGCCAAACTGATTCCTTCATAGCAATGGGCTTATAAGGCTTCATAATAAAATGAAGCTTTACAAACTCTCATGATTATTTGCAAATTTGAGACTTATTCGGTGTTGATTGAGAAAGACTGATAAAATATTTGTCCATAAATAATACTTCCTATTTATAGATGTGAGATACAATATGTTAGTCACTGATATTGTAAGGATATAATAATACTGAATATTACTTGGATAAGCTACTTGAAAATTTGGACACTTTAATGAAATTGAAGTCTCCATTGCCCCATTACTAAAGTTAACAACAAATGCAAATAATGACAAAAAAAGAAAAAAAAAAAAAATCGATAATAAGTAAAATGTAAACAGCCTTAGATAGGGCAACATAAAGGAAAAGGATTCATGTTGCCAACCCCAACCAATTTAAAGACTGCGGTAGAGTCAAGTTAAATTATCTATCAGAACAAAGGGATCCCTAATTGTTCTAACCTGCTGCTCAGGAGTGACCAGAAAATAGTATCCATAAATGTGATCAGAATAACAACATTAGGTTTTCTGTTCAATTGATAACAAATACAGAGCAATACAAGATTAAGAGGAACAAGTATAAAACAACTCACAGAAACAAACATAATTCCGCAACCTCAATTCATTCAAAAATGATAAATTAAAACAGAATTCAACTGAAGAATCAGAACGCCGGAAGAACATAACACCTTTCAGATAGAACATTATTTGAAACAAGAACAAATAATTCAATTCAAAGCTGGAAGAAATTCCAGATAATCGACGAAATTTCGTTCAATATCTCAGCAAAAGTAGAACTTTAAGGAGAGAAATTACCTGAAGCTGAAGCTAAAGCTGATTGAAGGCAAGTGTAATGTCGGTGTGTTAATGACAAGAAACCCTAGCTGACTTTAAGTTAACCGTTTAAATGTTTAATTGTTTCTATACTCTAACAGTAGTTTTTAGTTTGTTAAAAACTCGTTATCCTAATCTACCCTGTCTTTGGATTGACCACAGATTTAGAATTATTGGTCAACCTGGTGTTACGCGTACGCGTGACTCGTCCTTTCATACTCTTCTTTTGCACGTGATACTCTTAGTACTTACTTTACTACTTAATATTACTGGGTGAGTACTTACACTTCCGATAAGCCAGAGTGTAGATAATTGTTTGAGCTATGAGTCCAGCCCAAATAATTGGATCTTAAGAGAGACATTAGTATGGCCTTCACACGTTGTGGGCTGGAGCCCAGGTCTGGTTAATTATGGGCCTTCAGCCTAATTTGCTTGTAGTCTCCTTCTGTTCATGAAACTTTCATTTTCACTTTTCTTGAAAAAATCTTGGATTGGATTTAATATGATATCATGAAGTTAGTCCTGGGACAAAGTGACGCACTATAATAGGAGTGCTTGTCACATATACGAAGACATAAAAAAGTAATATGGGTCAGTATTATTGAATTAATGTCTCAAGCCATTGACTAAATTCCGATGGTTGTGACGCAATCACTGCTGCTTTGCTCCATCCGTGATATTTGAACGAAAATGACTCCTTCACTCAGCAGAGACATTTCTGACATTTCTATCACCCGTCCAAGATTCTTGACCCACAGCCCACGAAACTATTGCATTATTAAATTAATACGAGTACCATACACAATGTCTCCTCAATCAAAACGACTAGCACTTTCTTGAACTAAGGCTCTTCCAAAAATCCCCACTGATGAAAATTCTACCAGAGGATATCCTACTTTCCAGAGATCATTTTTCACTTGAGTCAATGACAAAATCCCATATATAAAAAGTTAATAGAATCAAGTGGGGAGATGGTCTATTCTTAGTCTCATATATGCTAGAGTATGATTATAATATTAATTAATCTCTATAATAAAGCAATTAATGGAGTAAACCATGCATACCGAATAAACTAATATATATGCCCATAAATACATAATGAAAGAAACGCACTGGTGTCGACTAACAAAGCACCCAAGGAATCTTTGAACTATTTTTATTGAGATGACACAATCTCTCATGTGAGTCTAGAAAGTGATCTAGTTCAAGAGGCCTAGTGCGCTATTAATGGAGCACACATAACAGATAATATCAAATATTAAGTGTTCATTTTTTCCTTTAATTCCAGAGAACAATAGGCCATGTGAAGAAGCATTGTCCCCCCAGCCCCAGGATCCTAGTTCTAGTTTAATACGCACTCAAGGTTGTCCACAGCTCCACATCTTTATGTACAGATCCTGCCCGGTAATGTATTATGTATAAAAATGCTAAGTTTGAATGGTTATCAGGCTGGAAATTAAACTGTTCGTATCACACCTCGCTGAAGAGAGATATATTCTTTCTTATAATATGAAGGCACAAAGTAGTCCTACAAATTAAATAACCAACTCATTGCACAAAGCATTTTACCAAAACTAGTTGGTAAAACAATCGGAATTCCAACCATATATTTTAAGATTGCCTTTATGAAATATAGACCGAAAGTACCAGCTGAAAGCCTTGTCGGTGTAGATCTAAAGGCAATTAATATTAAAGGTTGGCCTACCCTAAATAAAGTCCACTCAAAGTACTGCTGCTTAAAAAATCAAACTGATTAATTGCCTAACAATTTAATTATCTCTGATTGAATGCCCATACACAGTCTTCCAGTGTCAAAACAGTTCAGAACTATTAAACTTATTGTTGACAAATCCCATGGAAATCTATAAGAATTAATGTAAGTGGCTCTTGAAAACTTGCAATTATTTAATGTGATTTTAAGTTGGCAAAGTTATCGGAATGCTCCCTAACGGGTCAGCTGTAAGAATCAGATTGGTGTAAGCATAACATCAAGTGAGTAGATGGTGGTAGAGATGGCACTATTCAAACCCCAAATAATAACAAAGATATCGGATCATACAATCACTATCATCATCATTTACTTTGCGAATAAATAACATAGTTGTGATTGCCATGCCACTATATACATCTTTTCTCACCAGTTGGATAACAAAAACTAAAAAGAAAGTTAAAGATTGAGGAATATAATTGGTCACTGCATTTAGTTGGCCGGGATTTTTTTTCATATTTTATGCCCACAATATCGTTAAATAGAAGCAAGAGATAAGAACTACCTTTTTTCTCACAAAAACAAAAACATAATCATATATAAACTATAAAGTTCTCTTTGCGATAGGAATCACTAACTAAACAACACATATTATATACAGTTAACTTGTCCAACTTTTATTTGTTCTCTTCTGTCGCAAAATTATAAAAAAGAACCCAACTAAGATTGACCTCGTCTGACTTAGTGTTAGTGACAGACTCGATCGTTTATATATATATTTGAACTCATTAAATTTAAATGTGAATGTTATATCTTGTTGATACCAAGAGAATTTATGCCAATATGCATTGACATTTGGGATAAGTTTTCTTCTCTAATGGCCTACCTCAGTTGATATGGCTATGAGAAGAAGGGTATTAGAAAATTGCACGAAGAGTCATAATCTTTGAAGAAAAATGTAGAAATTCCCTATCTATGTATGCCACCGCCCTTTGAAATTCATGCACGACGACAATTATATCTTTTGCGTTTGGAATAAAGGCAAGAAGTGAGAGGCGAACAGTTTTATGCTTATTCCAGACGACATACCTAATATTGATCCTGCATTCTATTAGCATCTTTTAAGATATGCTATTGTCATGGTAATCTCCAAAAATATGCATTATGGAGAATAAACTGAATTTTAGATAATGGTTAAAATTAATTGATTAATATTGTTGTTGTACTACATAATTCTGCAGACATCAATCAAGGCCACAGAGAGAGAGAGATGAGCAACCTCTTGAATTTTCTATATGATCACCACCTTTTCAACGGACATATCAATACATTTTTAGGTTGTCCCTTAGCTTTCAGAATCTTGTAGCTTTGCCATGGTCCAACTTATTCGATGTGACGGTGTATTATTTTTAGTATAATAGACGTACAGCACTTAAATTTTATTTGTTACACGAAAATGCTAGACATACAGGATCCTTTCTCTATAAAATTGCCTTAAAGTCCAAAGACACCCTGCGCCATTAAAGGTTCGGTGCAACATATTATTGGAAGTTGAAGAATGAAATCATCATGAAACAATAATTAATGTTGGAAAAATAAAAAAGTTACTCACTCACACCCAAATATTATTGGGGCTGCTAAATGCTAACCTTTACATAAAGTAATTATATATATTTATGCCGACTTTCTTGCTGAATTTACTGTGTTCTTTCCTAATGGAGATGAAAGGTATCAAAGATTTTTGACCTGCCATTTATCCACCATTCGCCTCCTGACAATGACAACCGTGGAAAATATTTATTTCAAATAATGAGAACCTAAAAACAGAACAATAAAATAATATTCTCAGTCATATATTCACTTTTATATACTCGAATTACAGTAAGTTTCTCACGTAATAATGATCCTTATTTCGTGGAAGGCTGATCAAAAAACAAAACAAAACAAAAAACCTGAAACTTTTTCACATCAAACCATTCTCTTCTGCGCAATAACCATTAACATCTCCATGTTCTTCACCATCCAAAAACTCTTTCATATAATACTGAAACTTCCCCACCACACTCTCTGGCAATGACACAAGCACTCTCACCGAATCAAAATCACCAATAACCGGTAAAAACAAGCAGTAAATATCACTTGTTACTGGACCCATATGCAGTGGCTTCCCTTCTCCGAAGTCCAAATCCTCCAGTCCCAGTTTAGACCATTGAGAAATGACCAAACTTGCTGAAAGGTCTGTTTTGCACGTTTTATCCTCCAGTAAATCAACCATCGACTTTACATAAGCATCAGTTAAATTTGCTTTAGCTTGTTGCACTAACTTCACACCATGATACAAGTTGTTTGTAACCAAGTCTTTAGAATTGGTTTGCGCACATCCCAGCACAAATCCATTCCCATAATACCCTTGCGGTATTTCAGGGTTTAATTTCTTTCTGACATTCACAGAAAATAAGAGCTTCACGTTGAGAGAAGGCGACAGGTCAAGTGATCGAACCCAAGAGCGCCACGTGTGAGATGCGAGTGCTTCAAATGTGGTGCATTTTAGCGATGGTACGCACTGCCTCTTGAGGTGAAGAATATGAGAAGGGGTGAAGGTTAAGGATGCTGGAACCAGTGGCTGAGATTGTAAATAATGGTTAATCTCTATGTTAGTACTGTCCCTGGGGGTATTTCTATTATACTGAGGATAAGTACAATTCACTTGCGGTGGATTCCGAGGTTTTAACCCGTAGCGGGTGTGGAAGGGTGAGATTGGAAGATCAAGATTAGGTTTCGTTATCATGTGGGCCCACGCATGCAAGAACTGTGATGTGCCAATGCCGTCACATAAACAGTGATTGATCGCGGTGCATAAGATCATTCCTCCACAGCGGAGATTAGTTACCTGCAAGAGTAAAAACTAAAATTAATTAAAGGAAAAGAAGTAGGGTTAGTATTGAGATGCGAAGCCCAAAGCCAAAGCTCACCAACCAAGCTAGGTAGTGAAAGCAACGATAGAGGGAGGTGCAATATCATATATTATTATCATCAAAGAAGAGTAGGGTCAGCTTCTTTTGACTCATTATCTGTCAAATTTTACCCAAAAAGTATGCAATGAATTTGAAACTACGATAAAACGACGTCGAGGTGTCATTGTGACTTGTAAAGGGCTATAACGTTGTTTGTAGCGTTGGTAGTACTATCACTTTCCCTCCCGGGCTGTCTGATTGAAACAGAAAGAGATCAAGATGGAAGTAAATTGTAATTTATCTATAACTGGTAACGTCAAGGGATATTGGGTATTGCCATATTGGAGCACTAAGCTTAATTTCAGAGATTAAATTTGATTAACCAAGGATACATAAGACAGGTGAGAGGAACATATATAATAAGTTAACGTCATTAATTATCCATAATCATTAAGAGTTCAATAATTTAATATGCTATAATAATAAAAGTTGCAGGTCGACCTAGTTTTATAAAAAAGAAATTCAACAGATAGAGAAACGAACAAGTGTTGACAGATGGGAACTAGCACATGGAGAAGAGCGAGGCAAGAAAATTTTGAAAAATCTCTGACCTGAACTATAAGGGGAGGAATATCTAAAAAGCTGTGAGCTTCAAATCGATACAAGAGCTTTCTCCAAGACCTGTTTGGTTTCATGGAAAGTTCAAGAAACTCCTCTGCAGAGATGTCCATGAAAGCTTCAGCAAAGACAGCACCTTCTCCATTGCAATCAACTTCAAGCTTCTGATCATCTTCAGCACTTGGTCTCAGTCTGCCAGCTAAAGGGTAGTAGTCGACAAGAACTTTTGAAAGAGAATATCTCAAGATATCTAGGCTTATAGATTTTTTAAAAAGGTAAAGATATTTAATGGAGAATCTAAGGAACTTTTGATCATCAAGATTGGAGAGATACAAAGAATGCTTAGGAGTTGTGGTGTTTGGTAAGATTAAAACAGGTTGGTTTGGATAGTAACAACAATCAGGGAGGTCTTGAGATTGAGATTTGAACATATTTGCCAGTATGTTCTTGTTCTTCTTGTTGGTTTTGTTAACAGTGAAGTTAGTTGATGGTGATGAAAAAGGGGGAGAGAGAGAGAGGGAGGGAAGAAGGAGAGAGATTGAAGTGAAGGGAAATTGAAGAGTGAGGGAGAGGTTTTGTAGACAAGAGAAAGAAAGGGTCAGTTTAAGATCTACGGTTGGATATGATGATGGTACCATCAGATTCCTTTAAGAGGAGCGATACTAAGAAGAGGGCGGGCATATGTATCGTTATTATAAGCTCACACCTTCATTTTAAACATAACCCGGCCACGTGGATGACACAAAATCTTACTTGTAGATTTTATATTATATTCATTGTCTACTGGTACAAACGCATGCATCTATCTAGATGGAAGAAATAAAATGTAGAAATCATCAAGAACAAACAAATTATAAGCAAAAATCCCAAGCAGTTGTTAATAACAATCAGTATGGTTGTCTTGTATTAAGATGAATTAAATATGAAGCTTAGTTAATGTCTATGGACTTTAACATTTCATCCTATTCATAAATGCATTACCTTGTTAAATTTTAGTCGAAAACGAAGTTCCACTTTGCATCCCTAATGATCAAGAACAGTTTTTACAAGTTGGGAAAATGCGCATCAATGAGTTTGGTAAAAATCGGCTCTTGAAAACTTGCAATTATTTAATGTGATTTTAAGTTGGCAAAGTTATCGGAATGCTCCCTAACGGGTCAGCTGTAAGAATCAGATTGGTGTAAGTATAACATCAAGTGAGTAGATGGTGGTAGAGATGGCACTATTCAAACTCCAAATAATAACAAAGATATCGGATCATACAATCACTATCATCATCATTTACTTGGCGAATAAATAACATAGTTGTGATTGCCATGCCACTATATACATCTTTTCTCACCAGTTGGATAACAAAAACTAAAAAGAAAGTTAAAGATTGAGGAATATAATTGGTCACTGCATTTAGTTGGCCGGGATTTTTTTTTCATATTTTATGCCCACAATATCGTTAAATAGAAGCAAGAGATAAGAACTACCTTTTTTCTCACAAAAACAAAAACATAATCATATATAAACTATAAAGTTCTCTTTGCGATAGGAATCACTAACTAAACAACACATATTATATACAGTTAACTTGTCCAACTTTTATTTGTTCTCTTCTGTCGCAAAATTATAAAAAAGAACCCAACTAAGATTGACCTCGTCTGACTTAGTGTTAGTGACAGACTCGATCGTTTATATATATATTTGAACTCATTAAATTTAAATGTGAATGTTATATCTTGTTGATACCAAGAGAATTTATGCCAATATGCATTGACATTTGGGATAAGTTTTCTTCTCTAATGGCCTACCTCAGTTGATATGGCTATGAGAAGAAGGGTATTAGAAAATTGCACGAAGAGTCATAATCTTTGAAGAAAAATGTAGAAATTCCCTATCTATGTATGCCACCGCCCTTTGAAATTCATGCACGACGACAATTATATCTTTTGCGTTTGGAATAAAGGCAAGAAGTGAGAGGCGAACAGTTTTATGCTTATTCCAGACGACATACCTAATATTGATCCTGCATTCTATTAGCATCTTTTAAGATATGCTATTGTCATGGTAATCTCCAAAAATATGCATTATGGAGAATAAACTGAATTTTAGATAATGGTTAAAATTAATTGATTAATATTGTTGTTGTACTACATAATTCTGCAGACATCAATCAAGGCCACAGAGAGAGAGAGATGAGCAACCTCTTGAATTTTCTATATGATCACCACCTTTTCAACGGACATATCAATACATTTTTAGGTTGTCCCTTAGCTTTCAGAATCTTGTAGCTTTGCCATGGTCCAACTTATTCGATGTGACGGTGTATTATTTTTAGTATAATAGACGTACAGCACTTAAATTTTATTTGTTACACGAAAATGCTAGACATACAGGATCCTTTCTCTATAAAATTGCCTTAAAGTCCAAAGACACCCTGCGCCATTAAAGGTTCGGTGCAACATATTATTGGAAGTTGAAGAATGAAATCATCATGAAACAATAATTAATGTTGGAAAAATAAAAAAGTTACTCACTCACACCCAAATATTATTGGGGCTGCTAAATGCTAACCTTTACATAAAGTAATTATATATATTTATGCCGACTTTCTTGCTGAATTTACTGTGTTCTTTCCTAATGGAGATGAAAGGTATCAAAGATTTTTGACCTGCCATTTATCCACCATTCGCCTCCTGACAATGACAACCGTGGAAAATATTTATTTCAAATAATGAGAACCTAAAAACAGAACAATAAAATAATATTCTCAGTCATATATTCACTTTTATATACTCGAATTACAGTAAGTTTCTCACGTAATAATGATCCTTATTTCGTGGAAGGCTGATCAAAAAACAAAACAAAACAAAAAACCTGAAACTTTTTCACATCAAACCATTCTCTTCTGCGCAATAACCATTAACATCTCCATGTTCTTCACCATCCAAAAACTCTTTCATATAATACTGAAACTTCCCCACCACACTCTCTGGCAATGACACAAGCACTCTCACCGAATCAAAATCACCAATAACCGGTAAAAACAAGCAGTAAATATCACTTGTTACTGGACCCATATGCAGTGGCTTCCCTTCTCCGAAGTCCAAATCCTCCAGTCCCAGTTTAGACCATTGAGAAATGACCAAACTTGCTGAAAGGTCTGTTTTGCACGTTTTATCCTCCAGTAAATCAACCATCGACTTTACATAAGCATCAGTTAAATTTGCTTTAGCTTGTTGCACTAACTTCACACCATGATACAAGTTGTTTGTAACCAAGTCTTTAGAATTGGTTTGCGCACATCCCAGCACAAATCCATTCCCATAATACCCTTGCGGTATTTCAGGGTTTAATTTCTTTCTGACATTCACAGAAAATAAGAGCTTCACGTTGAGAGAAGGCGACAGGTCAAGTGATCGAACCCAAGAGCGCCACGTGTGAGATGCGAGTGCTTCAAATGTGGTGCATTTTAGCGATGGTACGCACTGCCTCTTGAGGTGAAGAATATGAGAAGGGGTGAAGGTTAAGGATGCTGGAACCAGTGGCTGAGATTGTAAATAATGGTTAATCTCTATGTTAGTACTGTCCCTGGGGGTATTTCTATTATACTGAGGATAAGTACAATTCACTTGCGGTGGATTCCGAGGTTTTAACCCGTAGCGGGTGTGGAAGGGTGAGATTGGAAGATCAAGATTAGGTTTCGTTATCATGTGGGCCCACGCATGCAAGAACTGTGATGTGCCAATGCCGTCACATAAACAGTGATTGATCGCGGTGCATAAGATCATTCCTCCACAGCGGAGATTAGTTACCTGCAAGAGTAAAAACTAAAATTAATTAAAGGAAAAGAAGTAGGGTTAGTATTGAGATGCGAAGCCCAAAGCCAAAGCTCACCAACCAAGCTAGGTAGTGAAAGCAACGATAGAGGGAGGTGCAATATCATATATTATTATCATCAAAGAAGAGTAGGGTCAGCTTCTTTTGACTCATTATCTGTCAAATTTTACCCAAAAAGTATGCAATGAATTTGAAACTACGATAAAACGACGTCGAGGTGTCATTGTGACTTGTAAAGGGCTATAACGTTGTTTGTAGCGTTGGTAGTACTATCACTTTCCCTCCCGGGCTGTCTGATTGGAAGAGAAAGAGATCAAGATGGAAGTAAATTGTAATTTATCTATAACTGGTAACGTCAAGGGATATTGGGTATTGCCATATTGGGGCACTAAGCTTAATTTCAGAGATTAAATTTGATTAACCAAGGATACATAAGACAGGTGAGAGGAACATATATACTATGTTAACGTCATTAATTATCCATTATCATTAAGAGTTCAATAATTTAATATGCTATAATAATAAAAGTTGCAGGTCGACCTAGTTTTATAAAAAAGAAATTCAACAGATAGAGAAACGAACAAGTGTTGACAGATGGGAAATAGCACATGGAGAAGAGCGAGGCAAGAAAATTTTGAAAAATCTCTGACCTGAACTATAAGGGGAGGAATATCTAAAAAGCTGTGAGCTTCAAATCGATACAAGAGCTTTCTCCAAGACCTGTTTGGTTTCATGGAAAGTTCAAGAAACTCCTCTGCAGAGATGTCCATGAAAGCTTCAGCAAAGACAGCACCTTCTCCATTGCAATCAACTTCAAGCTTCTGATCATCTTCAGCACTTGGTCTCAGTCTGCCAGCTAAAGGGTAGTAGTCGACAAGAACTTTTGAAAGAGAATATCTCAAGATATCTAGGCTTATAGATTTTTTAAAAAGGTAAAGATATTTAATGGAGAATCTAAGGAACTTTTGATCATCAAGATTGGAGAGATACAAAGAATGCTTAGGAGTTGTGGTGTTTGGTAAGATTAAAACAGGTTGGTTTGGATAGTAACAACAATCAGGGAGGTCTTGAGATTGAGATTTGAACATATTTGCCAGTATGTTCTTGTTCTTGTTGTTGGTTTTGTTAACGGTGAAGTTAGTTGATGGTGATGAAAAAGGGGGAGAGAGAGAGAGGGAGGGAAGAAGGAGAGAGATTGAAGTGAAGGGAAATTGAAGAGTGAGGGAGAGGCTTTGTAGACAAGAGAAAGAAAGGGTCAGTTTAAGATCTACGGTTGGATATGATGATGGTACGCTCAGATACCTTTAAGAGGAGCGATACTAAGAAGAGGGCGGGCATATGTATCCTTATTATAAGCTCACACCTTCATTTTAAACATAACCCGGCCACGTGGATGACACAAAATCTTACTTGTAGATTTTATATTATATTCATTGTCTACTGGTACAAACGCATGCATCTATCTAGATGGAAGAAATAAAATGTAGAAATCATCAAGAACAAACAAATTATAAGCAAAAATCCCAAGCAGTTGTTAATAACAATCAGTATGGTTGTCTTGTATTAAGATGAATTAAATATGAAGCTTAGTTAATGTCTATGGACTTTAACATTTCATCCTATTCATAAATGCATTACCTTGTTAAATTTTAGTCGAAAACGAAGTTCCACTTTGCATCCCTAATGATCAAGAACAGTTTTTACAAGTTGGGAAAATGCGCATCAATGAGTTTGGTAAAAATTCAATTATGCCTGTTTTTTGTTCAAGACAGATGGTGCGTCTTGATACATTTTCCCT